GAAGCCCGAGGCAGAGTTGCTCTGCCCCAGGCTTCCTGGAATCAGCTGCTGATCAGTTTCAGCAGCAGCTGACTTGGGGAAGCTTGGGGGTTCTTAAGTTGAATCTGTATGTAAGTCAGAACTGGCGGTCAGTTTCAGCAGCGGCTAAATCTGGACGCCAGTTCCGACTTACATACAGATTCAACTTAAGAACAAACCTACAGTCCCTATCTTGTACGTAACCCGGGGACTGCCTGTATAGGACTACTTAAAATAACTGAACAATTTAAATCATGCCTCTCCCCTCCTTCCCAAAAAACCCAGCACCTGAGAAAAAGGAGCTGATAGGACAGCACGTGAAGCAAATGCTGCAGAATCCAATCCCTTTATTTTTGTGCAGAGGCAGGGTATTGAAGAGTATAAATTTTAAGAAAAATTCTTATTCTTTCTGCCTAACAGAAACTAAAAAGGAAATAGAAGAGCACGCCAATGTGAATGTGTTCTCATCACACACATTGAGAACAGGTCCAACACTTCAGTGGCAGGACCTTTATCTATCTGAGGAGAAATATGTAATTTTTATGGCTGGACAAAAAACAAGAATTCCATTTTGCAAAACAGATTTAGCTTATTGTTTCCATTCCACATTAGGACGAAACCAAGACCTTTTTAAAACACAAGACTCACCCCGTGATAGCCAACAGCTCATGAGAGGCTGGATACATTGATGCATGTCCCTGGAGAGCATTCTATTCACTGTAACAACCTTTAAGTATAGTGATTTGAACCTACATCTCTCTCAGCCCAAGCAAGTACACTCTCAACTGAGCAAAGGCCATTTTGGGGCTCTCATATTGAAATTTTTCTAATTTGCATAATTTAACTATTCACTAGGTCCAACAGAACGCAACTATGACTCAGGTCATGAGAGACCATGTCAAATGCCTTAATAGTCTAAGTATACCATATCCGCTTCTCCCTTATTCACAAGACTTGTTATCCTATCAAAGAAAGCTATCAGATTGGTTTGACATGATTTGTTCTTTACATCTGTACCTATCACCTTATTTTATTCCAGATGTTTGCAAATGAATTCCTTAACTACTTGCTCTATTATCTTCCCTGGCTCAGAAGTTAAACTGACTGGTCTGTAGTTTCCTGGGTTGTTCTTATTTCCCTTTTTAAAGATGGGCACTATATTTGCCCTTTTCCAGTCTTGTGAAATCTCTCCTGACTTCCATGATTTTTCAAAGATGATAGCTAAAGGCTCAGATACCTCCTCTATCAGCAACTTGAGTATTCTAGGATGCATTTCATCAGGCCCTGGTGACATGAAGACATCTAACTTTTCTAAGTAATTTTTAACTTTTTAAAAAATTTTTAACTTCTAAACCTATCCCATTTCCACTAGCATTCACTATGTTAGGCATCCCATCACCATCAACCTTCTTGACGAAAACTGAACCAAAGAAGTAATTAAGCATCTCTACCATTTCCATGATTCCTGTTATTGTTTCTCCCTCCTCACTGAGCAATGGGCCTACCCTGTCCTTGGTCTTCCTCTTGCTCCTAGTATACTTGTAGAACATCTTCTTGTTATCCTTTATGCCTCTGTCTCCTGCCAGACTTTTATCTTTTCTATGCATCTTGCAATGCATCAAGAACATGTAGCATCTAGATATAGCATGAGAGTGTGAGGAAGAGAGAAAGAATGAGAGAGATTAACCAGAGCCCTCCTGTCCAGCATTCTATTCCTGGTTGAGCCCCTGGGATGGACCCACCTCTCCTGATACCTGGCACCACATCTTCCTGAGGCAACATCTGGGGAGTGGTGGTACTCTGAGTCACATGCCCTCTTCCGGATTTCTGCTAGGGTTTACACCAGAACGTGGCCAGCAGCAGCCTTTCAGCATTATGCAGGAGAGAAAGGGCAGGAGCTGTTTCCAGCTGCAGAGGAGGAGAAGGGGGCGAAGAGATAACCTGGCTGTCTCTGCAGAACTCATCTTTTCCCCTCCTCTCTAGCTGGAAACAGCTTGTCCCTTTCTGCCTGCATTGTAAAAAGGCACTTGGCATCTCCAGGCCACTCACATAACCTTTTCCTGCCTGCACTGTAGTTGGGGAACAGGAGGTAGCTGGGTTAAGACCTAGGGATGCAGTGTGTGCCAGAGCCCAGGAAACCTAACTGCAGGGAATTCAGCACACAGAGAGAGATGGAGCAACAAGGGAGGGTGTCTAGGGGACAGAGCAGTTCTGTGCTCCCTGGGGGCAGGACCCAGGGTGGGCAAAGAGGGTGTCCCGCCTGGGGGGCTGCTGTGGAGTAGGGATGTTAAATATCAGTTAAGTGAATAGTCGAGTAACCTCATGAAATTTTATTGGTTAGTCGACTGTTCTATAGTCCCTGGGGGCGGGGTCAGCACCCACCATATCAGAGGCAGAGGGATGCCAGGAGGGAGCAGGTCCGCGAGGAGAGCCAGTTTAAAAACCAGCTCCCCACACGGACCAGCTGCCTGTTGCCTTGTGCTGCTGCTTCTGAGAGAAAGGTGGCAGCACAGGGTGGCAGCAGTCCCAGTCTAGGGGAGGGTCTGAACTCCTGGACCCAGCACGAGCCAGAACTGAGCTGGACTGCCTGCCCGCCCGGCTCTTAATACACTTGAAATGCAGAGTCGCAGCAGGTGTAGGTTCCAGACCTACAAGCCAGGACTGAGAAATTTACCAGCAGGGAGAGGGAAATGCATGTAGTCTATAGCATTAACCTATAAGCTTTTGCTTATCGGTTAATCGAGTATACTGTTACATCCTTACTGTGGAGCCTGCAGGCTGAAGGCATGAACAGGCTAGAAATCACCTTCCTGCAACTCTAGAGCTTAGATGAGGGACAGAGAAACTTTCCCATGCCCAAGTTGTACAGGGCTTGGACACATGCAGGGCTTGGTTCCTCCTGGTCAGCATCCTGGGATGACGGGACTTGGGCTTTCCAGGAACACTGGCCCAGTCAGAGGCAGTGGGGGAAGGAAGGAGCCTACCAGCTAAGCAGAGATGACATGTAACCAGATGGTACCTGGTGTCCACCCGCAGTCATTAGCCACTGCAGCTTGCAGTGCATAGCTAATGCCAGTCAGAAACAGGGTGGAGGGGTCTGCTATCCAAGAGCCAGCACACAGGAGGAGTTGTGCTGATAGATTACAGGGGGAACGGGTGGCCCTGCATGCAGCATCTTCACCCCACCCCCAGCCTTGTACACCCACCCTGTGCTCACCTCTCCCATACACTTTCTGCTGGTGGGCAGGTGGTTTACGAGCAGGGATCCAGCCAGCAGCAGAACCCTCCAGTACTGGGGGAAGGGACAGAAAATATGGGATAGTTTGCCCATTTTAAAGAAAAAGTTGGCACATCTGCAAAGTGTTTAAACACATAATTGTCCCTTAAAAATGGGACATCTGGTCACCCTAACCATTTACAGTCAAGTATTCAGTGGTTCTTAAATCACAGTTATAGCCTCTATGGAGACTTCTACAACAAAATCATGACTACAGTATGTTTAAAGAATGTGACACCCATCTGTACTGTCCATATCAGTATTTTCCATCTCTCCTTTGTTACACTACTTTCTTCCAACTGGACTCTTTATTGTATTTTTTAAAAACATTAGCTTTAATTAAAAAAATGTCTCCATAAGACCTGTAGACTGGACACTATACAGCTGTCATTAAAAAAAAATGGATGGGAAAGTGTGGTCTCTTCCTAATCTCAGGCAGCTTCCGAACACCTTGACACTTTCACCCTCACCCATGTCTGCCATAATGTGCGTCTACTTTGCAAAGGGCTGTACTGTAGCTATTTTGGACTAAGTAGTTGTGGCCTCCTTTCCTCCTCACCTTTAAAATCTAGTAATTGTGTTATTATCAATTGCTTTCCAAGTTAAAAGGAAGAAAGAGGGCTTCACAAATACATCCAAACCCAACAAGCTTATTTTCCTGTGTTCCTGCAATAAGCTAATGTATGCACGATGGAAGGTTTTAAAAACTGGTTTAGACATGCAACCCCCAAGGGAAAAACAAAGCTCTATCTCGACTGACAATTAACTCTAGTTTTAAAGTCGCCAGACAAAATATTGACAGCCCCGTGTCACCGCCCTGCAGCACAGCGGCTCTGCCCAGCCCCTCAGCAACGCTGGCTGCAGTCGGGGCACGACGTGGACAGAGGAGCTTCCCGGAAAGTTTGAATCTGCGCAAAGCGTCGGGCCACAGCCGGCAGGCGGGGCCCGGCGGGCCGCGCGCCCCGGGAGGCCTCG